TAACAAAAGAAGTCTCTCGTTTTTACAAACACAGTCACAAACTGTAAGACGGGCTGAGATGGGCATGAGGATGGGATCTAGGAGTGGCAGGAGAATGGGTGGGGGGAGACTGGCCATGTCTCTAGTGACTGAAATGGACGAGAAAGGCTCCTTACTTTAGCACCATGCATGAAAAACAAAACAAAAACCACGTTTGGGGCTTTCCAGAAAAACGCCATTCTTACTAACAAGGCTACAAGTGATGCACACGGTGATAGTAGAGAGATCCGTCTTAGGTGCTCAGCGTCAAGTCCGTGGCTAGACAACTATCCATCAACGGCACGAGTGTACTTCCCATTAGAATAGCCTTGTGCTGCCGGGGCAGCCCAGTGGTAGAGAAGCCTAGCACATACCAGCCCTGGGTCCCATACCCACTGGAAGAACAGTCTTTTAAGAAAGATCATATAATAAACACACACACACAAACTCTTTCATCTCCAAAAGAGCCAACAACTAATATATGTGCTTTTATTAAAATGAGATAGAAATACATTAGAATAGCAGGTTGTATCAGAGAGATTATGCATACCTGTTTTTCATCTTACCCAGTGAAAATACAATCATGGACCCTGGAGGCTCTCTGGCAATTCTGCCATTTAATGAAACATCTCAATCATCCTAATTTTTAATTATTTTGTCACAATAAAATTAAACATTCTCTTCAGAAAGGACCCCCCGAGGTGTTCTGACGCCCATCAATGGATTTTGATATTCTTTCTCCAATATCCTCAAAACCATTCTTTTGTCCCCCAGGCTTTGGTTCAGTTCTCAAGCCCTGAATGATAGGAAAATCTGGCATCTTCTGTCAACTTCTGATTAGATCCTGTGAGCTTTGCACGATTTCTTCTGGAGAAGTAAAAGCATTGATCACAACATGTAGAGTCACGTGAATGGGCACATACTCACATGCACTGGTGAGCCCTGCAAAGATACCAAAATGTCACCAGTGGTACGCTCCGCTATGAGTCGGACAGGTAACGTTCATTTTCATTGCCTTCTTTTGGGCTGTTTTTCTCTTCTCTAGTTAGCGTGATATCTGGAATGCAAAAGCTCCGCTTTGTGAAGTGCTGAGAAACTGACATTGTGAGCTTGACGTCCTGGTCACTTCAACCCACCGCTGGGAGACGGCTGGGGGCTCACAGGCATTTAAACGTGCGATACTCCAGCCAAGGCAGTGGCACAGAGCTACAGCTCCCTCCACTACAGGACCTGGAATACAAAGATCACTCCAAATCCTTGAGTTTGAGACCAGTCTGACCCCCATCTCAAAAAGTAAAAATCTACTGTGTCATATCCTAACAGGGAACCTGACAGTAGCATCTGGGCATCCTATCTATCCTTATCTATGTTCTCGAACAGAAGTGTAGATATCCAATGTTGTTACCACCTCACAGGTATTGAAAATAGTTCAAAAATGACTTTATACTGAAGGCATTCATTCATCTGAATAGGTCAGACTGACTTCCAAACCCAGGGGGACTCTTAAATTCTAGTTATGTAACAATATTCTCCCAATTCTCCAGAGAGGTCTAAGATTTCATAGCGAAAAGGGATTCTGTTGTTCAGGGTACCAATGGATATTTACAAAGTGCACTTTACCAGGAAATGAAGCCAAACGCCCCGAGTTGAACTATAAAAGTATGATGCATTAATCCTTAGGGAATGAGAACGAAGCAGAACTGGCTCGTATACATTAGACAGCTGATATCTAAAATAAGTGTTGGCAAGGATGTGGGCACACTGGAACTTGGGGCACTGTTGGCGGGCACATAAAACGGTTTCATTATTGTAGTTTCTCAAAAAACCTACAACTAGAATGAGTTATAGTGTGATCCAGCAGTTCCACTTTTGGTATCTTCTTCCCAAAAGTGAAAAGAGTCTTGAAGAAATATTTATGCATTCATAAACACAGCAGCAACATTCACATCTGAAATGTGGAAGTGTTCTGAGTGACTATCAGTAGCCAAGTGGACAAGCCTTCCACTTTCAGGATTCTACGTTCCTTGCAGAAATAGGGTCATGGTCTTTTTTAGGTGTGTGTGTGTGTGTGTGTGTGTGTGTGTGTGTGAGAGAGAGAGAGAGAGAGAGAGAGAGAGAGAGAGAGAGAGAGAGAGAGAGAGAGAAGAGTAGAGTAGAGACTGGTTTATTTCACTTAGTATAATATATACTAGGGTGGAACCTGGATATGGAGTTGGTTAATACGAAGTCTCTAGTCTGGCAAAACGAAGTGTTCTAGAGACAGATGGAGGGGAAGACTACACTAAACACCACTGAAAATGGTTGGTGGTCAATCTATCACATGGATTTGACTACACAATGATGGGAAAAGAAAATGATGGCATTCTATGTCAATCAGCATTGATAATTAAAAAATGAAATCAGCTGGAGAGGGCTCAGTGGGTTAGAGCACTGGCTGATCTTCCAGAGGTCCTGCGTTCAGTTCTCAGCAATCATATGGTGGTTCACGATGGACCACAAGACCTGGAGCCCCCTCTGACCTCCACTTGCACCAGCACACAACCAGCACATGTACACACGCCGGCAAAAACACTTATATACATGAATCTTTGAGGGAGGAAACCGCTGCTGGAGTGGGGCATTCTGAATGGGAACGGAGGACAGGAAGACTATCAGGAAAAGGAGCGAGACCTCGACAGCCTGGAACATGGGATGGGCCATCAAACAGGAGCACCAGGGCCTACTGGATAGAATTCTAACCTTTACAAACCTAGAATTAGCTTACTTTTAAAAGTTCAAAATTAAAAACACCACTAAAGTTTTAGAATGTCTACGTAGAAGGTAGACAACACAATACACTGAACTGATAAAGCACAGTGTATACATAGCTGCCATCTGTGAGTCTCCATAACCACCGCTAACAGCCTTATGGCCTCACCACCCACACACTCATCACATAGCTACAAGAGACCCCAGAATCTCGTGTCGCAGGGCTGTAATTTCAGGATGGATTCTTCCCATTTACATCAGAAGTATTTCTTCAGGCGCATACAATGTGAATTTCTTCTGTGTGTGTGTGTGTGTGTGTGTGTGTGTGTGTGTGTGTGTGTGTATGCGCGTGCGTGCTGATTTCTGGTAGCTTCTTCAATTGCTCTCCACTTTATGTACTGGAGCGGATTTCTCAGTGAACCTGGAGCTTACCTGGGGAGCCACCTTGCTCCAGAGATGTCTGACTCCCACATTTTAGGATTCCAAGGTCTTCATGTACCTGAGGATCTATACTCCAGCCGTCATGCTTGCTCAACAAACATTTATTCAACTATCTGCCCATCCATTATATCTTTGATACACAGGCTGCAAGTCTTTGAGCGTTCTGGTTGTTTCGAGCCAATTATAAGCCCAAGTTTGTGATCTGTGGCGTCAACGCCTAAGTTCTGTACAGTGTTAATGACTGGAAACACCTATGGTTCACTTATTTCTCAGCTCAGCTTGTTTCCTGTTGCAAGTTGGCTACAAACAAAACAAACAAACTGACAGTTCGAGCAGGATGGTGGAAAATACAGTACCGACTTTAATGACCTCATCCAAGAGGGAAATGACTAGGGACATTGTGTCCTCCTCCCCTCCCTTCTCTGTACCCAGTGCTCTCAACACTCCAGGGGTTTTGAATGCAGGTGCAGGGCGCCAGGAATCCCAGGTGCAAGCTGTGTTTCCTTTCTCCGTTCACCTTTAGGGTCAACTGGCAAGCCCGCCTGACCACAGATGGAGCTCTCGGTTTCTCAGACACGACCTCAAGGGTTTGAAGCACTTACTGCCAGGAATGCTGCACACAAGGCCGCATTATTACACTGGGGGGGGGGGGGTGCCCGTCAGTAAGCAACACTACCATCTAGTGGCCAGTGGAGACATGCACCGAGGCTTCCCAGCCCTGACAGCAAACATAAACACCTGGTTTCCAAGCCAAAACCCAGCATTCCTAATAAACTCATCTTTGGAGAACCTCAGATTTTCTTGAAAAATTGTCTTGAGCACATAAACGCACGTACTTTCTCTGCTTCTCTGTGATCTTTTCAACAGACCTCAACTTCAACAACAGGGCTGCTCAGGGGGGCTGGCCTCTGAATACCCTTCCCTGGCTTGACAGGATTAAAACAGCAGCCCCTCAAGTGATGCCAGCTAGCTAAAGAAGCAAGTTTCCACAGCAGTAGTGTGTTAGGGTTGTTCCGTTCCTCTGTTCACAATCTAGGGTGTTACCTGTACCTCATGTCCTGAAAAACAGAATCACAGAACACAGCGCTAACACTACCGACCCCTCTGAGAACACAGTAATGGCGGAGGGCTGCTGGGGTGTGGCCCTTTCGCCCAGGTGTTGTCATTAAATGTGACTCAGTTTCTCTGTGTAAATCTGAATAGTTAATGAGCTCACAATGTCTTTGCTGTGACCACTGGGACTTTATTTAGGCTCTGGGGTAAGCGGTCTGCTCTTCAGAATGTCCACAATGGTTATTGATCTTGCTAAATGTTTGAGTTTCTTGGAGGCACTCCCGGATTCTAGCATGTGTCTGCTATGGTCTTCAGCAAACATATTCTTGACAAATACTGAGCTCAGCTAAGGAGTTGGGGATAAAGTCATGTTCTGGAAAGGAGGCCTGTGAGGAAGAGGAAGCAGCTGAATTTTAGGCTGCATCCAGTCAATCAACGCAACGGAATGCTTCAACCCTGAGGACACAAGGTAGACCAGGAGAACAGAGCTGTGGGAGAGGCTGGTCAGAGCTGCGGATGGTGCTTCCTAGAGCACTCTATCTAAATGAAGCTGGTCATTCTAAGGATGTCAAAACCACCAGAGGTTCTCTGCAAGCTTCATGCTCCACCATGCCCAAGCTGAAGCCTGCCTTCCCTGTTCCGCCTGCATGTTTCAAGTCAGGCTTCAACTGAGCATCCTGAATCCAGAGCTGTATTAGACTACAAGAAGAGCTGGAAAGTAACTTTAATGTGGGGCAGAGTCATCTCCAAAAACGTTTATTAGCATGATTAAAAACATTTTTTTGAATAGCAACAGGAGTTTCTAAACATGAAAGAGTTATCAGTGGCTCTACCTTATAATCAATATTTGGAATTGAAGGGACAGCTTTATTGCCAGTCTTCATTTATTAAAAACAATCCATTTATTGGTTCCATGACGTCATGACTATTGCTTTGTCTGGGAATGAGTCCCTACAGCAATTAAGTATAAAAAATATCTTCCATCATAATTGGAGAGTGACCTGCATTTGGAGCGTGACTCTGAGTAAAGACTTGATTAAAAATACACAAAGAGTTGGGGTTTTGTTTTTAAAAACACTCCTTTACACACTACAAAGAAAGAATTAGTATTTTGGCTTTTAAAATTCCTACATGATACTGAGAATGGCAGCCTCCAGAGGCAGTCCCCTCGCATCACTGGGCACAGCCCCTCTTCCGGGCTCTGAAGGCTTGGCCTGCACGTTTACACTGGTCTGAGGACAAAGACAGCGTCGTCCAGCACGTAGTAGTCGTTGTACATGTCGCCCTCACACAGGTACGGCAGTCTGGTGAAAGCTTCGACGACAAAGCCAGCTTTCCTGAAGACTTCAGGCAGGCTGTTCACTTGTTCTTCCCAATTCTGTCCCTTGATTTCCAAAATTTCTGACGGTTTCTCCCACTTGCCACCTACTAGAACAAATAAAAACATCAAGTTAAATCCTTGAACAAATGGTTCACTAAGAGGGAAGGGAAGGGAGCGCCAGTCTTCCGGGTGCTGAACACCTTGGTGGACACGGCTGGAAGGAGCGACAGAATCCGCCACAGCGATGCTCTCATGCTCTCAGGCTGTCTGCATCCAGATCCTACACTGACTAGCCAGGAAATACTCAAATACGGGGTCAGAGGTTAACTGCTAGTATTTGAAAGGAAGGTTTGGTCAGTACAAGGAACCACATATACAGAACACTTACTCAACTTCCAGTCTAGAAAGTTACCTGCATGAAAACTAAAATAGGCTCATGAGGAATTTAATTTACAGACACACACAGACTTTTCAAGAGATGCTGACCCATTCCCTAAGTCATCTGTCAAACACTTCCAAACCTATAAACATTAAGAGCCTGGGGTGTGGAAAGCAGGCAAGGTCACGCTCTCCTCCAAGCCACACCCCGACTATACAAGGACAAAACCAAGAGTATCTTTGAATATGGTGTGCTTTTAGAGGCTATGGTGACAGGCCACTGAATTCAGAGTGAGGCTTCTGATGCTAAACAGATCTACCACCAGCAGGTGACTAGAGCACACTGGATACTGGGGAAAGACTGTATGTACCTTCAGTGGCCAGCCCATCTGGGGAATTAATCCTTCGTTGGGTGGGGGTGAGGGAGCTGCTTTTCTGGCCTTCCTTGCAGCAGGGGACTGGTGCAGCACCTTGGTCTGTTGCCAAGACTGGAATGACCCAAAAGAACGGGAGGCTTTTTGCTAAGTGCAGGCATAGACACCAAGTGGCTAGCGCAGTAGACTGGTGAGTGGTGGGTGCATTATGACGAGTGTGCAGCACTGAGTGCCCGGAGGGAGCAGCCCAGCACAGCATCACACCAGTGTACAGCGTCACTCAAGCACCTCCCGACTCTGAGCTCACATGGCTCTCCAGGCGCCATCTCAAACCTTCTTAACAGGTCTCCTTTTGCTGGATCAGCCTGAGTCAGTTCCTGCTACTTATGGAGAACCACCTGACTGACAGGCTGAGTGTGTGTGTTGACAGTGGGGGCTGTGTGTGACTCATACCCAGAACACAGACCAGGGGCACACTCAATTTGCTTGTCCAAATTAAAGCCAGGTGGACATGCTTAACAGCAGCCACAGACTTCTTCACCATACTAGGATGTGTTGACCACTTTTTTCTCCCAAGCCTACAGGAAACATGGCCTGCGGCTGCTCAGGTTTAGCAATTTCTGCCCTGAGAGGCTCTCCACACATGACCACAGCAGCAACAAGAGCACTCATGAGAACCACATGACTTCCTGGGACATGGCTAGGTATAAAGTGAACCTCCACACAGAACGTTAAATGCCTATGAAAATTTCTAAAATACACACGTTCAGAAAAACCAACCAAAATCTCAACTTTAAATGGTGAAACTTGTTAGAAACCATGTTTACACAATTTCTAAAAGTTCCTGCTTGTGCTTCCTTAATAGGAGTTCCTCTTTATTTCTTCCTTTCTGAAAAAGGAGGACAAGGAAGGCCGTCCTCTTGAGTACATGCCCAGCACACGCAGAGTGATGGACCCTGTGAGTACAAGCAAGATCAGCCTCCCGCTGGAAATCAGCCTGATCCTATTTCATGTCGGTAAGGGTGGTTTTTTCTCTTCTCCGTTTCATTTAAATTAACTGTTGCTTCCTAATAAACGTATACTTAAGCTCTTGCCAAATAATTTAAAATGTGTAGCACTACAGTAAGGATGTGGGGTTTCTTCTTCCCCACAGCTGAAGGAAGGTTTCCTGCTAGTCTTGACAGGATCTGCTCAGCACCTCATGTGCTAACAAGTCAATTCCCACACGGGCAAGCTTGCACACTGCACAAGAATTGCCTAGTATCCCATAGGACAGTGTTCCTAAAGGCCGAAAAGAATTTTAAAGCTACTGTAACCTGTTCTAGAGAAAAGTTACCCCATAGTATCTCCAAATTCTGCCTGTACCTGTTCTAGCTCTATAAAAGTTATTTCTTTCATCACAGTTATAAATAATCTCAGATTTATCCATAAAATTTAGACTGCACGGAAAGAAATGGAGCAGAAGTTCTTGAAATTAGTATGTTCTCCTCATCTGTAAAGAAATATAGGGTAGGTCTACCATCTAGCAGTGAGCCACTTGCCCAGCATACGCAAGGCTCTGGGTTCACACACAAGAAAAGGAAAGCAGGCTACAGGGAGGGGAAGAGAATGAATGATACTAGAATGTTAACTAGTTTTTCTGGTTAAGGAACCACAGTGATCTCTTAAATGGCTCTACTGTCTGCAATGAGTTATACACTACTTTTACACACTATTTTAGTTGGTTAAAGAAAACCAACCTCTCCAGCTGTACCATGAAATGTTTGCAGATACAGTAACAAAGCGGTACAAGGACGAGACAGTAAGAAGAGATGAAACAAGACTGAGGGAAAGCCAGGCAACGGTGGTGCTAGGTACCTACTTTTGCATCCTTGACATTCTCCACGATAATAAAATGTTGGGATGGGTGGTGGTGGCACATGCTTTTAGTCCCAGGACTCAGGAGGCAGAGGCAGAGACAGAGGCAGGTGGATCTCTGAGTTTGATTGAAGCTAGTCTGGTCTAAAGCGTGAGTTCCAGAACAGCCAGAGCTATACAGTCTTGTCTTAAAAAGTCTATGTCTTGAAAAGCAATAATAACAATAATTTATTAATAATAATAAATGTTGGTGCTAGAGAAATAACTCAGTGATGTGCTTGTTGTACCTACATGTGGTTTCTAGAACCCATGTAAAAAGTCAGGCCTGGTGGCACACACGATATCAGTGATGGGAAGGCAGAGATGGGCAGATTCCCCAGGGCTCACTAGCCAGCCCAGTCTACTCAACCAGTAAGACCATCTGGAAAAACAAAAGTAGACGACTCCCAAGAACACAACTCCGGCCTCCATATGCACCTCAACATTCATGCATGCATGCCCACCAACACAAGTGCACACGCTTGAACAGGCAGACATACATAAGCACAAAGTTTACAGTATTCCTTAGTTTTCAAAAAGGAGTAAGGTGATTTTATTTCCTCCCAAGATAAACTTTCAACATTTTCAGTAGAAATTGATTTAAAAAACAAAGCAAAACTATAGAACCTAAGAATTCCTAAAAGATAAACTTCACAGGAGAGGGCTTTGTGAGACACCATCCAGAATTCTTGTTTTGGCTGACATGGCTCAGCTGGAGAGGAAGAGGACTGCCCCTCCGTTGGCCTGTCTCGTGATTTCTCCACCCTGAGGCCGAGATAGGAAACTCCTAAGTTGTAAGTACTTTTTACTGGGTTAGAGGTTGGCTCTACTTTTAAACTCTCCACACGAAAGTCATCTGAGACTGGGGCTCTGTCTGCAGTGCTGGAACCTGACAGGACTGATCCATTTCTAATCTGCATGTAGAGGACTTCCAAGGTGACTGTCCCTGGTGAGGGAGGAGCCCACTGCCCTCAGCACACAAGGAGCCAGGAGGTACTCCCAGCTGACTCACAGAGTCTCAGCTTCCATCAGCGTACAGACAGCTCAGAGTGAAATGTGAGCACAGCCTCTCACAAACGCGGGGACTAACTTCCCTGCCTTCTGCTGCTCTGGGTGGGAACCTGTAGGACAAAATGTTAAAAGAGTCCCAGCCCCTCAATCAGCGGCTCTCAACCTGGGGGTTGAAGACCTTTGGGGGTCAAATATCAGATATTTACATTAATTCAAAACAGCAGCAAAATTATAGTTATAAAGTAGCAATGAAATAATTTTATGATTAAAGGCCACCACAACAGGAGGAACTGTATTAAAGAGTCCCAGCCTTAGGAAGATTGGGAACCACTGCTAAATAAATATAAGCACCAGAGGACTTGGATTGATTCCCCTCTCCCATTCTTAGGAACAAAGTGGGATAAGCAAGACCATTTGGCCCATTATTTTTTCTGAGACCATTTGGCGCGATGAACTAGGCAGAAGTTGAACTGAAAACTCACATAAATTCACATCTGCCTCCACCAATACTATTCCTCATGTGACACGGTCAAGATAGGAACTCAAGCTCCAAGCAGCTCCACACAGTGCAGAGTAGTAACGGCACGGGCAGCAACAGAAATGGCTGCCTTCTATTACACACATCACTTAAACCATATGAACTGCACAAGGGAGCAGCATCCCTACCATCATAGGAGACCCAGGCAGCATTCAGAGCCACAAGTGCAGAGACAGGTTCCAACGCCCTTCTGTGTTCTCCTTGTTACTCTACAACAGGACTCCTCCCTGACCTCCGCTCTGCAGTAGTCAGACCTGCATTTTCTCATAGGCAATCTTTTCCCATTATCCTAATTCCCAAATGGACACCAGATTCATCCCTAGGCAATCCAGCCCCCAAAAGGCAGAAAACCTGGTGGTGCTCATGTATTCGATCAAACCCCAAATCAAGGGGTGTGTAGGAGGAAACAGGCTCTTCAAGATTCCAGAGATGGTCTGAAATCAAGGAAATGCTTGTAGGCATTAAGAATGTCCTTCTGGGAGAGAGAGCACAAGCAAGGAACTCAGGACCGCGAGGGGGGGTACCCACACACTGAGACAATGGGGATGTCCTATCGGGAACTCACCAAGGCCAGCTGGCCTGGGTCTGAAAAAGCCTGAACATAGCGGACAATGAGGACTACTGAGACCCCAAGAACAATGGCAATGGGTTTTTGATCCTACTGCACCTATTGGTTTTGTGGGAGCCCAGGCAGTTTGGATGCTCACCTTACTAGACCTGGAGGTAGGTGGGTGGTCCTTGGACTTCCCACAGGGCAGGGAACCCTGATTGCTCTTTGGGCTGACGAGGGAGGGGGTCTTGATTGGGGGAGGGGG